AAGCTTTCAAAATCACGATCGAGGAGGAAGATAGGGATGAAAGTGATGAGGCCACACCGTAGGATTGGAATGTAAACGTATTGGACGGTTTTGATATATCGGCGGTTCTTCGTTCGTGGACCGATGTGATTCACTCAAAACACTCGTACTCGTTAGAGAAGCTGTAAATATGAACCCAAAACACATCACATTTTGTGCTAGTGTGATGCTAGTATGAGAATTGAAGATTTACATTAATAAAAAATATTAGTATAAATTTTTTAAATTAAACTAATATTTTATATCAATGTAAACTGTTAAAATGTCAATACATTTTTTAAGATATAACTTGGGATACATATTTTGGTGTATTCCTAGCATGATCGTAAACTTAATCTCACCTTACCTCCACCTACCTCAATCCAAACACACCCTTAGACTACAGAAGGACTGAAGGAGAAGATTGCGAGCGAAGAGGGAGTTGGCCAACAAAGGCTACCAAGGAGGTGTAGCCGTGTAGGTCTCTTTCACAAGACTATGTGTATGTTTCTATATGCTTATAAGCTGACTTATATATTTAATTTTGTTTCTATATGCTTATAAGCTAGAGCAAAGATAACTAGTTCTTACCTACTTAATTTTAAATCAATTTTTTCGTTTTTTCGTTTTGACCAGATAAGTTACGACATTGTCCCCACCATTTATGAATATTCACAAATAATTTATTTATCATTTAAGTCATTTTACTTCCACAAAAGATTATTTAACTTATAAATTGCTTATAAGTTAAAAATTGATTATCAACAATAAATAAATAAAAATCATGCCTCCCATCATGTTCATTTTGTTGGAGATCAATATTCCTACTCTAAACTCTTATCTACTCCATCCTCCTCCAACCCTCTATGTGTTATTCACATCTTTTCCTCTCGTCCAATCTCACATTCCGGTTCAATTTAAATTATTTAGGATCGGTTTCGAATATTTATTTTTTCAGTTTGGATTCGGATATTATAAGCTTCGGTCAAGTCTGTAACGATCGAATTCAGATAGAGTTGTCATTTCTAAATAAGGCTTAGTCGAGACCCATCCCAATTACTCACATCCTATTGTGCAAATTCGTCTATGAAACTTACACTGCAGTGGAAAAACTACAAATACTTTGCAAATATTTATTTCATAAGCAAACATTCAAAACTAAAAGATTTACATAGCAGGGTAAATACATAGATGGAGAATAATACAAAGCATAGGGAGAAATTTAAAGAGTGCAAACATAAAAGTTGGTTTTGAGTAGTTGGTTTAGATGAATTACAAATAATCTTATTTAAATAATCATTTATTTGAATTTTAATTTTTGTAGATAGAATATAAAAAAGATTAACAAATATTTGAAATACTATTTAATTATCAATTATTCTCTCTTGTTTATGAAATACGAAGTATAAATTAAACTAAGTTTTAAAAGCATTTCTTGCATTTAATTATTCATTTTTCAACTATTTATCTTTCTTTATTTGAATGTACTTTTGATTTTTTTAAGTAAAAAGTTTTGTACATTTCAAAGTGTAAACTAGGTACGTATATATATATTCATCCAATATTTACCGAAACCGAAACTGGACCATCCTGAACCATACCAAATCGATACTTCAGGATCGGTACGATGTAAAATATCATACCAAATCGAAATATTTGGTGCGGTATACGAACCAAACACCGTATCATACCGTATCATGATCACCCCTAGTAAATAAATAGAGGGAGCATAATACGCATAGGACAGTGAGAGAAATTTTAAAGAATGTAGACATAAAAGTTCAAGAGCATGCATGCAAAGGGAACCAATTCAAGCATATCAACACAGATTGAACTAACAACATTTGGCTGACATCTTTGGTTTTTTGGCAGATGTTTTGGTGTTTTTCCTGGATCTTCTCTTGCGCTTCTTCTCTTTAAACTCACGGAAGTAAATTATGGTAGTGGGTTCTTCGACGTCGAAAGGATGGCACCAGAATTTAACACGGTAGGATCTCTCCTTTTGCTTGTCGTCCCGTGCAACTAGAGTGAGGTAGAGCATGAGGCCTCCAACGATCCCCGCGCTTCCCTTGACAAGTTTCACCAACTCTAAGCTCGTCCCCTGCACATTATTTATATGTATATATATATATTAAAGACACATTATAAAAAAATCAAATCATACACACATGAAAACAAAAAAGGAAAGAGAAAACAATTGAGTTAGTTAACCTTTTCCTTGTTATGTTGCTCAACAGCCTCCCGTGCATATTGGATAGTCTCCTCTTTGACTTCCCATTCATTCACACCTCCAGGGATGTGCACCGAAGACCACAACGATGACGCGGTCTTGAACTCTCGCCCACACTTAGGAACACGAAAATGGAGATCGTATCAAATTAAACATACACTCTCGCAATCCAAGGTACATCGGCGCGAGAATTCAAAAACAAAAAAACAACAAAGATGACACAAATTAAACCGAACAAGTTAGGGTTAGGGTTATTGAACAAAAGATGATTTTGTTCCGCAGCAATGAAATCAACCATACTATACACAGATTTGCTATCATTTTCAGGATATTTGTCGAATCAAATCAGTTAAATTTCACAAAAAAAAAAAGAGAGAGAGAGAGAATAAAGAGGAGGAACAGAACGAGGGGGAAGGAGAACAGCCGTACAGAGCAGAAAAGAAATAGGAAAACATACAAGACCCCAAATAGAGCACTAAAAGAGAGAACCAGAACGGAGATCCGAACAACTCATCTCAAATCTTTCCAATTTAAATTTAATATTCTTAACACAATTAATCATTCATTCAACAATTCAATTCACAAATTCAACACCAATTGGGCAAGAATATATCAACGAATCCTAATCTACGATTCGATTCTAACCAGAGATAATTCACTCACCTCAATCTAAATTGAAGAAGAACTCTGGCTTATATTTTGCTTGGGGTCGGCGAACCAAAAGAAGCAAATAAGGCTGTTGATGTAGATGAGGAGGAACTACCAAAAGAATAGGCATTCATTTTTGGTGTACCTCACACTCCCTACTTGTCCACATAATTGAACAAGAAAATTAAAAAATAAATATTAAAAATCAAATAAAAATAAGTGGTGGAGAAGGGGTGGTGTACATTTGGGATACACTTGGGCCAATGCAACTTGAAATGGTTGTACGGTAGGTATTAGTTTCCTTTTAGGAAATTTGTTTTAGATTATTTATTAATATTTAATATTATAAAATCTTTATATTTATTTATTGAACTGTAATAATGTTTATTTCGTTTATCACGATTCACACGAAATTCCAAACTTGACAAAATATATCGTTGGACACCATTTCACGAGATCTACCCGAAAATCTAACTTTTAATTAAAATAGTCAACTTTATAAATTATTCATATTTTGGAGTTAATAAATAATATATTTATTTTTATTAAAATAATGGCTAATTACTTAGCTAGCTTTTAGTATAATATCCAAGTACTTTTCTAATTTAATATTTTTCACTTTATTTATAATAAAACTATCGAGATGAATAAATAAGATTTTCTTTCTTAAAAAAAGATATTTGTGTATAACCCCTGGTTTGCATGCTTCAAAAATGACTCATCAAATGAATCATATTTTATTGAGTGGTGTCTAAAAAAAAATTTGAAAAATGCTAGGGGTACACCAAAGGTGTATCTCATTTGTTCCCCACCCCCTCTTCTACCACATAAATGAGCAAAAAGTTTTAAAAAAATTAAATAAATAAAAATTAAATATAAATGAGAGGTGGAGAAGGGGGTGGGGGACAAATAGTGGGGTACACCTTTGGTGTAAAGGTGTACCCCTAGCATTTTTCAAAGAATTTGGCTAAAAAATTGAAGAGGATATAAGGCATCGACACATAAAAAAGTAATAAGATCTAAATGATTTCAATATGATGGAAGTGAATAATACAACTTTAAAATGATTTTTCCACAAAAGTATGAAGGGCTCACAATGTCCTAAAGAAACAAATCAAGTTCAATTTTCAAAATGAAGTTTTATTTTCATATAAACACACACCTTACAATATATCATCTTATTGGAACAAGATTTATGAAAAAGCAAACATCCAACATTCTCAAATACTAGGAAAGTAGCAATGTCCAATGTGTCAATGACTCTTGTCTTGATTCGAAATTTGTTTTGTGGTTGTTTCATTAATTAGTCAAAAGAAAAACTTTCAACATAAAGTAATAAGAGTAGGATATTTTTAAAACATAAGCCTTGGGATTAGATTCACCACATGGAGAATTGCAGAAATGTGAACTGGAAGAATTGTAGGGGGGAAAATTGCATACACAGGCAGAATTGCAAGAATGGTGGAAACCATGAAATTATCAAAAAAAATGTACATAATATGTGATTCGGAATCAACATTAAGAATTGAAAGGAAAAATTTGCGAAACAAACATATAAAAACACGAATTGAGTAAAAATTACTCCGTATATATGAATTTTGGAAATAAACATATTTTAAGCGATTCTTGCACTGTTGAAAAAATCCAATCATAAATAGGGATTCTCTGGATCTTAATCATTTTGAGACTTTCTTCAGTGTAGTTGTCCTTTCCTTTGCTGAAGAAGAGATGTGTAAAAAGTACGAAATTTTAGCAAAGAAGCAGTCAGATACTTTCCTTTGGCGAAGAAGAGATGCATAATAACAGTGATTGGGGAAGAAGAGGGCTGCATGAAAGTTGCCAAAGAAGTCAAATAACCCAGTCTAGATGCGTGTACACATTATGTACGTGTCAAAAAAACTCAGCTTTAAAAGGTGCCACGTGTCATAAAAATAAAACTTTTAAATAAAAATCTTAAACTCTCAATTTTGATATTAAAAGATTCCAAAAAACTAATTTGGAATATTTTTTTTGAATTGTTAAAAAAATTATGTAATAAGAAAATTTTTTAATTAAATAAATTAAGATATCTATCGAAATAGAGCATCAATCAAGTTTTACAGTAGTATTTAAATATTTTAGGTCTAAAAGGTCATTAGATCCATTCAAACCTAAACCCGAATGCTTACATTTTTTGTGGACTGAACCCCTATCCCAAATCCAGTCCATCTTGGTTGTGTCTGAACGTAAGGCTGTGTTTGGACGATCTTCCTCTCCCATCGCTGCCGATCTTCATCTCCCGCTGCTTTCCAGCTCCTCTTCCTGCGACGCAGGTTCTTCCTCTCCCTTCATCTTCCAACTCTTCGTTTATTCATTATTTTTCAATATTTTGAGATCTGCGGGTATGGAGTTCTTCCCCCCATCCAACACGTTTTTTTACTTTTATTTTGCGAAATATTGAAAATTGCTCCTTTTTTTCCCCTGTTTTTTCGGCTTTTGTTCCCTTCCTTCACTTTTCTTTTGTGCCATTGATTTTTTGCTGTTTTTTGTCTATTTTTTCCTGTTGTGTTTCTGTTTATCTGTTTTTGCTGTTTTTCTGCTTTCTTTTCGTTTTCTTTTCTGTTCTTTGGTGTTTTTTACGCTTTTTTTTTGCCCTTTTTTTCTGTTCGTTTAAGTAGCATGTTTTGGTTTTTTTCTGTTTTTTTTTTAAATTTTGGTGTGTTGATGTTTTTTAATATTTATAGAAGGATAATTCTATGGGTATAACGGTTATGTACACCGGATGTATACCATATACTCCCTTACCCCCACACAAAATACCCCCAAAAAAATTTCCCTCTTTCTTTTGGTTTCTCCCCTTATCCCAGAGTTGGTATATGGTACATCCGGATGTACCTAGAAATAGGTATATCCCGGTAGTACTCATTCTGAAATATAGTACTCATTCTCGTACAAATATAACCATTCATTTCAAACTACGTAGTACTCATTTTAAAATAAAGTACTCATTTTTACACATTTGTCTAATATAATTATAATAAATAGCATAGTGTTCATTCTTAAAAAAACAATACTCATTCTCAAATAAGGAAATGTTCATTCTGAATTAAAATATTGTTCAATTTTTTCACAATTAAAAAGTTCAGTACCATCATCAACTTCTTCCTCCATTCCATTCGTTCCTACTCATTTATACTCTCTGAGCATGGAGAATTTAAAACCCAGATTTATTCATGTTTGTATTGAATAAGAATATGATAATTCTCATAAGTGCTGGTACTCATTCTCAAATTTGCTCGTACTCATTGTCATATATAATAGTTCTCATATATGTTCTGGGCATTGGATAAAAAGTTCGCAAAATTTACAAAAATACCAGGCTGTACCTAAAGGAAGGTACAGCTGGATGTACCATATAATTTGCCCTTATCCCACCCGCGTCTTTTTGACTTCTCTTTGCGCCTTCTCTCTCCCTGCACCTTCCCTCTCCCTGCGCCTCCCTCGTACACCAAAAACCTTTCTTCACCATTGCCGGTGATTGATGTACACCATCCCTCACTCTATTTCAGTTTTCATCTTTGTCCCCTCCCCTAGGGTTCAATCTTCCTCAATTGTTAATGTTATCACAACATCGGCCGCATAAAAGAACAAGCCAGCTAACAGCCATCCAAATGGTGGATCATCCACCGCCCCCACCCTCCCAGGCGTCCCAAGCAGTTTGAAGTTCATAGAAATATTCTCTCCAGGTATTAATATGCTCAATTATTACTTTTTCTTCTTGGACTATGAACCCTAAGTTCTTAATTACAGTTGTTTCATGTTTATGTCCGGAAAAATGGTAAATGTATGTTAATTGCTATTCACAAATGCAAAATATTTGTTTTCAGTTTTAATTGTTTGCCTGCTTCGTATCATGTATTTATCTTCCTGAATTACTACCTTTTGTTCTTGTATTATGAACCCTAAGTTCTTAATTACGTTTTTTCATGTTAAGTTTCTGAAAAAATGGTAAATGTATGTGAACTGTTACTCACAGACGCAGAATATCTGTTTTCAGTGTTAATTGCTTGCCTGCTACGTATCATGTATTTATCTTCCTGAACTGCTATGGATGAGCATTCTTTGCCCACGTATTACTATCATGTCTCTACTAGAAGTACTACGTTATGGTTATTAGTTTTCTTTGCTCACTTATATGATGACTATGGCAATGACGGATGTTTATTTTGTAGGTACAAATAAAATGTCACTTTGGATTCCCACCAAAGATCACTTCCGTGCCCAGTATTCGGTTTGTGGAGAACTCGAAGATGCAGTGGCCATAGTGAAGATCAAATTGAGTGCAGACAATATGGTGAAATTTCGAGAAATGCCATTTGGTCATTTTATTGATATGCGGAAGCTGCAATTTTCTGGACAACTCATCCATATCCTTATGCTACATCTCGTTCGCCAACAACCTGAAGACGAGATGTGGTTTTTGATCAATGGTACTCTTCAGGTAAGGGATGGTGTACATCAATCACCGGAGATGGTGAAGAAGGGTTTTTGGTGTACGGGGGAGGTGCAGGGAGAGGGAAGGCGCAGAGAAAAGTCAAAAAGACGTGGGTGGGATAAGGGGCAAACCAAAAGAAAGAGAGATTTTTTTTTTTTGGGGGGGGTATTTCGTGTGGGGGTAAGGGAGTATATGGTGTACATCCGGTGTATATAACCGGTGTACCCATAGAAATATTAGAAGTCAATGCATAAGATTTTAGAATAGTGCTAGAGTCACCAACAAAACACTCACAAAATGCACAAACTTACTATTTGTGTATTTTAGTTTTTATTTTTAAATTATTTTACCCAACCCGGACACTAACCCAACCTTCGGGTAGATTGCACGCTACCCTTTTTCATCGCCGCGCCAAGCGCTACTACCATTCATTGCAGTGCACCTCCGTTGTCTTCTCCGACGAGCCAAGTCAGGGAAGCGCTTCCAGGTCTGAACTCTTTAATTTGTGTTATTACAAGCAGAGCTTACTTGTTGATCCATCCATCTATCTATTAAAACCTAATTAGATTTTTTCGCCTGAGGTGTTTCTTCAATCGGGAGAGTGATTGTATTAACACTAATGTGTTCTTCTTGATTCATCCATCGATCTATCTATGCCTTTCCTTTTCGTCCGTAATTAAGGTGTTTCTTAATTTAGGATTTATAATTAGTAGTATGTGGAGGAAAAACCTAATTTCAAAATGCTGTCATCGTCAAACAAAATAAAAAAAGTATGTCTTAGGAATTGTCTGTTTTTTTTTAATTTTTTTTACTGTTTTCAAATTCATATACATTCGAATATGACTTTTACAAAGTCCGTTCTAGATCCACAAGTGCATTATGACTTTTACAATGTAGAGCCCCCCACCGGGTAAGGTACCTTGACTTTTCAGTAGGTTTCTGGCTAATTATTAATTACCTTTTAATGGCGAATTGACATTAAGTATTTACCTATTCAAGTTTAGAAACTGTCATTTTTGAGTGTGACCATTTAAAAAAACGAAATAGAGGTTTCCCCTCTTTTTTAATAAAGTATATATTTGTCACCAAAATTTGAAAAAATTGACTAGGCGGAGGGAGTATGAGTTTGACTTTCAAAGTTGCCAGTTTGCCACTTCACACTTCAGGCCTTTTAGGCTTCCATTGGTTTTTCTCAGTCCAGCCTCACACCTTCGTAGGTAGCATCGCTGCAATACGTACGTGCTTATGCTCGTGCACTCCGTTCTCTCCCATCTCTGCCTCAGCGTCGTCACCTGAGAATTTAGCCTATGTTATATCAATTCTCAATTTCATTTTTCATTTTTCATTTTAATGGTAGGCGAATCCAGATTTTGCTTTATTGATTTGAGTTTATATCTTCCAGTTTACCTCTACCACGGGCTAAATCTGTTTGTCTTCCAGCTTCGAATTGTATTAGTGGCAGTATGGGTTTCTATGGCTTATGGAAATGGCTATGGATTAGAAGGGGGTTGGCCAGTGTGGGTTTACCTCTCCTTCACCCACCATGGATGATGGAGAACCCCAATTGAAGAAGCAGACCCAATTGAAGATCTACCTTTCTTTTACAATGCATATACCGTAATGTCACTCCCGTTCTACAGGTTTTTCCGATAGCCCTTTCTTGTAATCTTGTTAGCCAACTCCCTCTTAGCTTGAATTCTTCTCCTTCCTCTGCCCGTCTGGAGGCTAACAAATTATCTTCCTCTCTCTACTCGCCATTTTAGGGTAAGTCCTCTCTCTCTCTCTCTGTTGTCGGTTTCCATTTGCTTTTTCGTCTCTCAATTTCTTTAGTTCCTCATCTATTTTCTGTAGAAATTCACTTTGATTCTCTGTTTTAATTGTACAGAGTACATGTTTTAGAAGTTGATTTTGATTATAGTATGTTTTAGAAATTATTTTTGTCATCCAAAAGGTCATATGGATAATGTCTCACTTCCTCTATGGTATATGCATTATTTTTTTTCTGAACTAGAATTCAATCTCCTCTTTGTTGCTTGTTCTTAAAATTTTTAGCACGGATAAAGTTGGGTAAAATTTTTTTCATGAGAGAAGTGGGCAGTTTGTTTAATGCTTCTAAAAGAGCAATACAGGTACTACCATGATTCAATATTGGATGATTTTCTATGTTTGTTAAAATTTTGTATCTTTCGTGTTTCAGTATTCTCTTTTTGTATCATCAAAGTTTAGTTTCATTCTTAGATTAGAGGTTAAGCATTTCCGGATGTTCATTTTCTAGAAAATGAACCAAACAAAAATAGATCATTTTTAGACTTCAGAATGTAACTCATTTTTCAGAAGTCATTTTCTAATTTTCCTAATTTCCAAATGCACCCCTAGTTTTTTAATTCCTGCTTCAAGAATTTTAGGTCGTGTGTTAATGCATATGTAATATGGAAAACAGTGCCAGTTCATGGGATGTGATTAACGAACCATTTCAACTGCTGTCCATCTGAGCTTTTCTATCCGAGCACTGCACACATTTCCATGCTTTACCAAGTGTGAATCAAAGATATCAATGGCCCGATCAACCCCGCTTCGTTTACTGCAAATTACGGGTAGAAAGAGCCTCCGGGATCTCACAGGATTTGGTTATTTGTCTATCACGTATAAGCACACTCAACGAAGATCACTATCGAATTCACACCCAACAAACTATGAAGAAGAACCAATTTTGCCTGTTCTGATCATCGGTGCCGGACCTGTTGGGCTCTCTCTCTCTATACTCCTCACCAAATTGGGTACTTATCTTATATCCTCACCCACACAACCCTTTTCATATCTTTAATTGTTCAACCCTTTTATTGGGTTTTGTTGTTTGGAGGTTAATTTATTCATCACATTTATTGTATTCTTTGCTTTAAGGTGTGAAATGTGCAGTCTTGGAGAAGAACAAGGTCTTCTCTGGGCATCCTCAAGCGCACTTTATTAACAACAGATCAATGGAGGTTGGATTTTGTTGAGCCAAATGGTTGTTTTTGTATTGTTATTCAACACCGGATCTTTTGTGATGGTAAAGTAAAGTCATTTCTTTTGATGTAAAGTTTGTTGATAGGTTTTTCGAAAAATGGATGGCTTAGCAGATGAGATTCTGAGATCTCAGCCACCAGTGGAGTTCTGGCAGAAGTTTGTATACTGTACTTCTCTTACTGGTCCTATTCTTGGCTCTGTCGATCATATGCAACCTGAAGGTAGAATATAGTACTAAAGCAGTTATTATTTAAGACAGTTCTTACATATGCTTATCTGAGAGTGCTATATCTGGTGCCACTATAATTTACTTCCCTTTTATTCAGATTTCAAACATATTGTGAGCCCTGTCTCTGTTGCACACTTCTCACAGTATAAACTGACCAGATTGATGTGTGAACATCTTAAGGCACTTGGCTTTCATATCAGGAACTGCAAAGGGGTTGAGACACACAATGACTCTGTTTCGGAGGGTCAGCTTTTTATGGGACATGAGTGCACAGCGATACATCCTAGCAATAACTTTGTTAATGTGACGGCATCTTTCCATGAGGAAGGGAAGTCTGTTGAAAAAAGTATACGGTGTCAGTTCCTTGTTGGTACAGATGGTGCTGGAAGTACAGTGAGGAAGCTTATGGGAATAAATATGGAAGGGGAAAAAGATTTGCAGAAGCTTATCAGTGTGCACTTTACAAGCCAAGAATTGGGGCAGTACCTCATTAATGAGAGACCAGGGATGCTGTTTTTCATTTTCAATGAAAAAGCTATTGGCGTTCTTGTTGCCCATGATCTCAGGCAGGGTGAATTTGTATTGCAAGTATGTAATACACTACTTGCAAGTATGGAATTGTTTTGATATGTATGGCTTTTCTACTCTGCATAAGAAAACTTACACTACTTGTAATCTGTAGATACCATTTTATCCACCTCAGCAGAAGCTTGAGGACTTTAGCTCAAAGGTATGCGAAGAAGTTTTATATGCATGAGGAAAACAATGTATTTTGTTTCTTTCTGTAGCTACCTATACTTTATAAAAATTTAAGATTACTTGGTAACTTGCTTTCTTAATATCATAACTGTGCAGATATATAACATAATTTATGAGCTGGTTGGTCAAGAACTTGCAGACATCAATGTCATAGACATAAAGCCCTGGGTAATGCATGCTGAAGTTGCTGAGAAATTTCTGTCCTGTGGGAACAGAGTAATTCTTGCTGGTGATGCTGCGCACCGTTTCCCCCCTGCCGGCGGTTTTGGTAGGCAGCTGCTCTCATGTGCCAGTTACTCTATTTAATTTAAGGTGCTGCGATATTATCCTTAAACATCAATCATATGCATAATAGCCTCTCAACCAGCCAATTTTAGTGAGTTTGATGCCATTTAGCCGTGAAGGTTTTGGATTTCACAACTTGGCATTCTATAATCTATGTGGAATCAGCACATGCCTCTCAAACTTTTAGTGTCTTATTTAATTTCAAATGATTTACAAAGATCAAAATGCCCATACTTCTAATAATCATAGAGTAAAAGTTCACTTTGTCAACAATGTTTCATAAGAGTATATTTTTTTTCTGGGTGCTTTTCATTTTTTCTTCTTTTGAAATTTGGGAAAATGAAACAGCATGGGGGCAAGGGAAGAATCATTCCTCACTTGAGGAAAAGAGTGTCCAAAGGAAAGAGAGATGTTGTCAAGTGTGAACCAATTGTGGCATTTCTTTGGTTGGAACCAAAATGGAATGGAAAAATGTCTATTTTCAACCAAATACCTTTAATCATCTCCATATCAGAAGTTCACTACTGAACTTAAACTAAAAGACTATTTGCCATCAGCAAAACTGTTTAATCACACTATACCTGGGACTGGCCCTGATTAGAAATAGCTATACATGCAAGTATACATACAACAAGTCAACCCGACAACAACTAAAGAATACGGCCTAAAGCTGTTGATATATGTTGAAATGGAACATAGGAGATTTCGTAAGATTCTGTCTGCCATTTCAGGAATGAATACTGGTATTCAAGACGCCCACAATATTGCTTGGAAATTAGCTTTAATCAGCAAGGGAATTGCACCTGCATCATTTCTTTCCACTTATGAAGTAGAGCGTAGACAGGTATTGATTTTCTACTTTATCAGTTCTTTACATCCCATTATCCCTACCCTGTTATGAGACACGTTTAATTACCATTCCACAAATTCATAGCTTTGACTTACGGTTTTCGTATACAAAAACTTTTAGATTGCCAGCTTTAATACCTCACTTAGCGTCCAAAACTACAAAGCTGCAATGAGAGTTCCTGCTGCACTTGGGCTTGATCCAACCATTGCAAATACAGGTAAAATGTGTGCGTCATCTTTCATCACATATACGTCTATGCTGTTGTGCTCTGTAACATATACAATGGTTAATGATGTATTGATTTCTTTGCAGTCCATCAAGCTCTTAATAACACCGTCAGCTCCATTTTACCATCTAGGCTACAGATGGCTATTTTAGACGGAATTTTTAGCATAGGTCGCGCACAGCTTTCTGGTCTTGTTTTAAATCCAAATAACCCGATTGGATCTGCTAGGCTTAAAAAACTAAGAGAAATATTCGAGGAAGGACAGAGCCTTCAGCTCCAGTTCCCTGCTGAGGATATTGGTTTCAGGTAAATCCCTTGACAAACATTTATATGAATAGATTTTGTGCTTATCAAGTTGATTATGTTATCCTCAACCAATTTGGGTTTATTCGTTGACTCCGACTTCAAACATGTTGTGATGCACGTGTGTGTGGAGTTCTATGGGCTGGTCAGCTTTACGGGTAACTGAATTTCTCATCGTATTATTTTCTCTAATTTCAAATTGCATGCATTAGGTATCTTAGAGGAGCATTAGTGTCTGATGGTGAGAATCTGTTGTCACCTGAAACACCCACAGGCCGAAGAAGGGAATTTGTGCCATCTGCAGATCCTGGATGCAGGCTGCCACACATAAATGTTAGACCTTTATTAGATTCACCAAGCAAGGTATTGCATTAATTTTGCATCTCCTTCATCAATATGGAATACAGATCCTGGATGCAGGCTCCCACACATTCCATGACTTCAACTTTGACATAATACTCAAAGCACTTACTCCCTCCCACACAGATTTTTCCACTCCTTTTTTCGTTCGTTCCAAAGTAATTCTAAAACTTTTTCTCTTTTTGGAAAAAAAATGTAGCTCAAAATATTTCTCAGTTCATAACAAAATCTAACCACAAACCTTTCACCGTTCAATAATTTTCTTAATGTTCGTGAAGTCAAAGTGGGAAATCTTGTGTGAGACGGATGGAGTATACCTTTAAGCTACTCATTTTTAAGAATTTCCACTTGATGTTATTCATAGAAGGGATTTCTAGCCGTTTTTAATGGACCACATCGTTACTACTAATGTCGTAACTCCCAACCAATTGACATCTGTCTCGTGGATGTGATATCAATAATATTACATGTATTTTGTATAATTTTCAATTTATTTAAAACAATTATTTGAGCAAACGACTACATTTTTTAGAGGTCCACTCAAATACATGTTCTTGACATGCAAAATGTGGAAATTCAGGCTCTTAAGAGTAAAATCACCATGTGCAGGAAGCATTTTCTACATTGGACCTTGTATCGGCAGAGAAGACCGAGTTTCTTTTCATTATAGCACCAGTGGAGCCCTCCTACCATCTGGCTCTAGCAGCATTCCAAACCGCTGAGGAAAGGAAAGTCCCTTTGAAGGTATGTGTGATGTGGCCAGGAGACACTATTACTGGGGGATCCAACAACAGCACAAGCAAAGCTGCATTGGCACCTTGGGAAAATTTCATAGATGTTGTGGAAGTTAGGAACCCACAAAATTCATCGCCGTCTTCTTGGTGGGACATCTGCCAGATGTCACACAGGGGAGCGATTTTAGTGAGGCCGGATGAGCACGTTGCTTGGCGCACAAAGTCAGAACTCGCCACCGGTATGGCTGCTGCTGAGATGAGAAAGGTTTTTCATACAATCCTTGAAGCTTAACAGATATGGAAAAATTCTTGCAATTCCCTCAGAAATTTGAGATTTTACACGAACACGCCAGGATTGTATAATTATCACCAGCACTTGCAAAAGTTCAATGTTTTTGCTATATCTTCTCCAAGAGAAGAAGAGAGGTTTATTTTAACTGGATCCCGTAGATTTTTTATTTGGATCAATATGTAATTTTGGAGTATTATTGTAAAAAAAATGAGTTTTTTGGAGCGCTGATAATAAATACTTCGTTTGCCGCTTAATAGATTACACAAAGGGAGTTATGAAGAAAAACCTAGCGTTTTTTTTGAAATCATTTTATTTAAAAATTTGTCTTTGACGGTGTGATTTAAGGGACAAATGTAAAGTTGCTTTAATTATAAAAAGTAGAAATGATGCGTACATGTAAGAGTTACAAAACAAAATACTTCGTACTAAAAAAATAAGAAAGAACTTCATTGGAAACATCCTTCATATGACTTAGGCCACTTAGAATGTTGATTAAAAAATCCATGTAATGCCCTTAAAGTTGTTCTTGTTTGTAAAAACAGACTTGTAAACTCTCTAGGAGGGGGATTCGAATTTTCTCTCTCTACAAGCATATTGGCTATACCCTCCCTGTACTCTTCCCAAAATCCCAAAATAACAATCGGACAACAGGTGTTCCCACCTAAAAACCACCCGATCATTTTGTAGTTTCTGTGCATTTTCCATGTCTCAACTCAGCAAACCGTACCAGATTCGGTATGAAGTAGTTTGCCCGGATGACTTATTTACACCATCAGCACTACTTTCATTATTTTTAAGAACATTATCTAACTTAATGAACTCCTACGAAAAATGTCCACTGACATTATGAAATATGTCTTGTGACTATTTGATTGAATGTCCTCGATTATACTGTATGATGTCCTAAGATGTGTTCATGCATGTCAGTATGCCAAAAATATAAATTGAGGTTATACATATAAATAGGAAATTAGCAAAATCAACAAACAAATCTATTTGGGAACAGTCATTGTGTATATATATAAATTTCCTTAAAATTAAATTTTTTTTTCTTAAGATATAGTTTATGGAGTTTTTTTTGCCCGGCCAAATGGATACTTAGGGTCCGTTTGGTACACGATGGAATTGAAATTGAATAGGAATTAAAATTCCATTGAATTCAATTCCATAGAATTGAATTCACCAATTCCAATTCATTTTTTGCACTACCAATTCCAAATTCACATAATTTTTGTGCTACCAAACACGAGAATTGGAATTAAAGTTCTCAATTCCAATTTCATAGTTTGAATTTCGTGTACCAAAAAGTTTAATGGTTATTTACCACTATCACTATTCTTTGTTATTTTAAATCATAACTCCCAAAAATACATCACCTGAAAGAAAATTGTTATTAATGGCATTTGGAAAAATACTACTTTCGCCTCCGAATAATTGTGCTTTCTTAGTATTTCAAAATCAGACTAACTTTTGCTTAAGGGTCATGCTACACTTACACCAAAAATTGTATCCCATTTGTACACCACAGTTATACACAAACATTATTATGGTTTACAGGCACCGACACAAGTGTTGGTGCGTCAACAAAAAATTACATGTACACAAAGTGTTGGTGCGTTAACAAATGTTAGTTTTACACCAACACAAAATGTCGGTGCAAACCTGCGGTTTACAAAATGGGGTAAACAAGTTTGGGATACAAATAGCTTTATTCTTTTACTTAATTGTACGTTCTCATCGATTATTTGGCAAAATAAAATATTTTTGTAACCATTTATTTTGTAGAACTTTAGATGTAGCGTTTAAGTATTTAAGTTTGTTTTTATTTATATACCAATTTTTAAATAAATTGAACGGAGAAAATTTATTTATTTTTTGTTTCATGCAAAATGAAAATAATTATGAAAGGGAGGGAGTATATTATACGGAGTAATCCTTTATGTAATTTTCTCTTTCAACTTATTCTACGGCATCTGTAAAGGTCGAATTCGAATAGAGACATAGAGTTGTCATTCCCAAATACTCCCTCCGTCTCCCTAAGATGTTCTCATTTTGATTTTTGGTGGTTTTTAAGGAGAGTTGAAAAAAGGTGAAAGTTTACCATAATACCTTTAATGAAATATGGGTGGAGTGTATTAAATGAGGTGGATGGGGTGTAATAAATATTTCTGTGCTCATAATTATTTCTGGCCATTTCTTACTGACAGGGTAGAGCACCGGACATGTGAAACACCACCACATACACACAAACACACAAGCACACAGTGCACACCC